TAAGAGTCTCATGAGATGCTCATTAAAAGTAGAATAAAAACACTTTAATAGACATTATACTGGATCTATTATTCATGCATTTGTTCAATGCATGAAATACTTGTATAATACATGTTAGATCCATGGTTACAGTTTTGACACTGCAACTTGTTACCAATGTTCACTGAAAAAATATATTATAGTATTCTGTATAAACAGGATCAGGGAAGAGACTGAATATAACTTGCTCTGTTATATTGTGCTGCTGCTGTTCCCTCGTGCTTATGGATTCTCTCCCTCCCGTGTTTATGTTCTCTCCATTCTCATCATCCTGCACTGCATCTTTCCCCTTTGTGAGTCTCCTGTTCCCTTCTGTCTTTGCTTACCTGCTTTCTCTGAACCATGACTTTTACTGCTCCACTGTGTTTAATATGATGGCAGCCAAGTGAAATTCACCAGAATATCATGATATGCAAGAACTCCAAAGAGTGTTTTAACACATTTACTTAGCTGTGAGACATTTTCATAGCAAATGGTTCATATTTACAAATGTCATTCATTTTATATATGTCCAGAAGATAATACATATCCATTAGTAATTGAAAAGGTTAGCTTGTTATCCTGCTATCTAGCCTTTTTCTCCTTACATTCTTTTGCTGCTATTTACTAGACAAAACACTCAGTCTACTTTGTTCTGCAAGTCAAATAAAGTTTACTAAAAATCTTACATAACAGTTCGGCTGGGAACAGTAATATTATATGAATATCTGTTTTAGAGATCCAAGTCTCGCAAGATCATGGACTGCTTTACTTTGATGCTTAAGAAGTCCTCAGCCATCAGGAGACACAGGCTGTCAAGCTGAGACACTAAGAATATATTTAAGACTTTTGAACAAACAGCCTTGCCTCTAGAATGATAAATTATTAGATTTCAGCTAAGTATGGTTTTCGAAGGCAAAGTTCCAATAGTGTTACTCTCTTTCAACCTAAAAAAAGGCATAAAGAGGGAGCAGCAGATAGATGTGTTTCTGTATTCATGTTTATTAAAACATTATTAAACGTTTAAGACTCATTTAAATCCACAACACAAAGTGTGTTTAGGGCTCCCACAGCATCCTCAGCACAACCATGATATGATTAATTATTGCATTACATTACAGTGTTGCCAACTCTCATGATTTTTTTTGTGAATGACAAGATTTTGGCTGGGCCTGGAGCCTGTCTGGAGATGATGTGAGAAGCTCCACCTTTTATGCAAATTTAAGCCCTGCCTGGGGAAACCCCCTCTGATTTGCTGCATGCCTCACTTGCCAGCCTTCTAGGGCAAAGTAATCCATCAGAGCTGCTATAGCTAGAGCACTATCTCTCCCTCCCCTCAGCAACCTGAAGCCATTCTCATTGGGAGAGCACAGGGGATTGAACGAGCCCAGCAGCTCTGCTCCCTATTCCTCCACGCTTTTGAGCAAAGGAGAAAGCTCCTATGCTCCTCCCCCTCACACCCCGCCTGGGAAGATGCTGTTACAGCTCCTCTCCCCCCAGGCCTGGGAGATGGGGGTGAAGAGTCTAGGAGGAGCAGAGGTGAGGCTGTCGGGGCTGAACTGATGGGGTGTGGAGGGATGAGCTGAACTGATGTGGGGGAAGAACCGATGCAGGGACAGACAGGACAAGATAGATTTGGACAGTGGGGTGCAGAATTAATTACTGGGGAAATGATGTGCAGATGTGAGCATGAGAGCTCCTGCTGAGATCAAAATCATCTTACCCAATAATTTTGGAAGAGTGAGAAACAAAATCTCACACACATACTGTGGATGGGCAAGGGGAGTTAAAAAAAAAAAATCAACAAGACAGACCAAAACCCACCACAATATAATCTTTTACATTTTTTTTTTTTTTGGAGTCTGACTTATGATTTTTGATCTTCTGAATTTGGCAATACTACATTTATTTATCACAGCACTGCTCATCCACCATTCTGAAATTTCTTGTACTAGAATGCCCCTAAACATGAATGGGGGAAGACTTAAGTATGTTTTGAGATGTTCTTGCTTAAAAGGGTATAACTCAATATTTAGCTGGTATAGTGTTCAAGTTTTTCTTTCTTTTTAAAAAAAGGAAGATCTATGACATTTGGTGGTGTTCAAACTGAAATTATTCCCTACTTTTTAAATAGAACACACTTTATTGGAAAAGTTAGTAGTATGGATGTTTCAACAACTCTCCTGATACAAATTAAGACAAAATTACATTCAACTAACTCGGCAGTTTTGCATGGACAAGAAAATTCAATTTAGAAACTATGATTGAGATTTTCAGACCAGTGCAGGATTTAGCCACACATCTTAAAAGGAATGGAGGATGTGAGGCTAAGTCACTTGTACTGCTCTACAAATATAAGGTACCCTGCTATGATGGCTGAACGTAGGCACCACTTCAAAAACTGCCATATCATTGCATCAAAGATTACCTTAATATGCATTTCCTAGTTTGTATTAAAAGCATGTACTTGTTTTTTGTAAGTCTCTGTACATTATGAAAACTATAAAAACAAGTGTGTCTTAGAACTAATGGCTCCTTGGAATCTCAAGAGAATATGAACTGTGCTGGAAACCTGCCCTATGCTTTGCAGGTTCCTATTGTTTTACAAGGCTCTGCAAATGTGTACATGTAGTTGTTCACATTTAGTTAGTTGCTGAATGCTAAGGTAATATAAGCAGTCTGACTACTGGATGCAGCATTAATTTTAAAGAAGTGCCATTTCAGTTCCAGCTAAACGTGCATCTTTTTTTTAAATCCATACTCTTCCCCTCCCCAATTTTCATTTTAGAATAGAAAATACTTTCTGTATAGGGCATTTCCTGGGGATTAGTTAGTAGTTCTTGATTGTTCCAGCTCCTTTCATCCAGTCATTAGTCCTCAGAAAATATCTGGTGCATTGATCATTATAGCTTAAATATGAACCTGTGGTTATCTGAACTGAATGCTTACATATTTGAATGAAAATAACTACAGGTGCTTATCTTGAGCACTAAACAGATTATTCACAATTCATTGATGATAATGCATCTGTGTTTCTATGATACTTGTGTTTTCTTCCTAGTTTTGAAGCAGAATCTCCACAGACACTTGCTCTGTTGGTATCATGCTATGCACCGTGGGATTTCCTGGCAGGATCAACAAGCAACTTTGCAACAAACTCTGTGAAAGGTCTGTCCATACTACACACCTAATGAGGCTGAAGCAAAACTACGTTCAGATAAGACACAAGAGAGGAGACCTTACCATTTGTGGTAGTTAAAGATATATTGAACTTTTCGTGAGAGCTGGGACTACCTAGTCTCTTGGCCATATTCTGGCATAGGCAGTTTCATGTTACCTTCTTAACATTTCTACTGTATAGGGTAAAATATTTGTAGTCATCAAAGGATCAGTCTGCAATAACAGAAATCACTTGCTTCTACCTTCTGTTGTGAATGGCTTAAATAACCAGTTAACACAGCACTGCTAAAGAAAGTAACTGAACAGAAAAAACTGGAAGAGATACAGCAACATCTGGTCACTATTGAGATCAGCATGCCATAATTTAATTATGGGTGCTTACTTCTTCCTTCACATAAACTTAACTTTTTTCCACAAAATGATTACCTTCCAGTGCTTTTCTGTGTGTATCTACCTTAGTAAGAGAGTAGCCTAGATGTGTTTTCAATACATTTCTGAATAATTGCACTTTACATTCTATCACAGTTGATCTTTTTATGTGATTATTAGTGTGTAGAAAATAGGGGTCCCTGTGGACAAAAGACATCTGCCCATGTGGAATAAGTTTCAGGACAGGGGCCTTAAATGGTAAGTTTGCTGAGGAAAGGACACTGGGAAAATTTTTCAAAAAATGTCAAAATCACTTAGGAGCCTCAGTCCAATTGAAAATGAATGGTACTTCAATGGAACTTAAAGAGTTTTTCCCTATATCTTTTGGGAGGTACTCAGCACATTTTTGCGTGCCATTCAATAATATGCAACATTTCTCAGCAATATATTAAAAGTGTTAAGAGACCCACTGGTCAAAAAATGAGAGTGAGACATTTTTACCTTTCACAAGCTATTTGCTTAATCAAAATTCACTTACTCTCTTTTACTACCTTCACCTCTTACAGCTTCCATTGTCACTCTGTTTTTACAAAGCTCATTTTATGAGATTTTTGAAGAATTATTTGTTTGGCACAGAATTTTTTTCTTATGAGCTACACAACATTCTACAAGGAAGTGTTGCTGCAAGATTTAAAGACTTTCAGAGTACTGGTCAGGGTCAAAAGGTCAGAGAAAGAGGGTGGGTGGTAGGAGGGTGGAGAAAAACTGGATGAAGAGTTAAAGAAACATAAGCCTTATTGCTATGAGCAAAACTTCACAGGGCAATTTTAAAATCTTCCAAGTTTTTAAAAAAGTGCTTACGTGACTACAATTCATCTCTACCTTCACGTCCATTAAGGTGAACAACAGTCTCTCAAACTTTCTGAGGCCTTATCTACACTATAAAAATAGGTCTGTTTAACTACATCACTCAGGTGTGTGAAAGATCCAACACCCTGAGTGATGCCATTAAGACAGCCTAACCCCCCCATATAGACAGCGCTACGTTGACAGAACCTTTTGGGGAGGTGGATTCCTACCCCAACGGGAGACCCCCCTCTTGGCAGGATGGGAGAGATAGCTCAGTGGTTTGAGCATTGGCTTGCTAAACCCAGGGTTATGAGTTCAATCCTTGAGGGGGCCACTTAGAGATCTAAGGCAAAAATCAGTACTTGGTCCTGCTAGTGAAGGCCGGAGGGGGGGCTGGACTTGATGACCTTTCGAGGTCCCTTCCAGCTCTATGGGATAGGTAGTGTTGGCTACACTATTGAAGCTCTACAAGTCCCATACATGGTTAATATCAGCATGCACCTGTGTGTGGATACAGGCCCTGATTCAGCCATTCACCCTATTCAGCAAAGTATTTAAACATTTGCTTAACTCAAGGCACATACTTAAGCCCCATTTTCTTCCACGGGAATTAAGCGCATACTTCAACACTTGGCGGCTTGGCCGGCGCGGGCCAGGGGCGCACATCTTCTCGACGGGCCGCCAGCCCTTGGGAGGCAGCCCCGCCGTGTCCGGGCAGGATGCGGTCTGCAGCGAGGCGAAACAGACGTGCCAGCGGGCAGAGACCGCGGCCGCGAGCTCCTGGGTTCCCAGCCCAGCGCCGGCCGGCAGCACCCACATCCTAGGCGGGGCTTTTCAACGTGTCCGTGTCCTCCCTGCCCCCGCCAAAGGGGAACCCCTGCCGGCCTGGGTGCTGCGAGGGGCGGCGCGACACCACCCGGGACACGCCGGCCCGGCCCGCGCTGCGCTTCTCGGAGCCCCGCGTGGGGGCGGTGCGGGGGAGGCCGCTCCAGTCCTGGCGCCCGGGCCCTGCGGGGGCAGAGCGGCCAGGCCCGGGCCGGGGAGGAGGGGGCGCTGCCTCACCTGAGTGCCCGACTCCGCCTTCCGGAACCCGTCACTCATAGCGCTGAGGAGGGGGTGGGGACCGGGACCGGGCCCAGCAGCAGCGGCGCCTCCCGCCCCACCGCCCACTCGTCGCACATGCGCAGTGCACCACGTCCCTCCGCCCCCCCCTAGACTGGCACGACCAGTCCTTCTTGGGGCGCTGATGCTGCACATGCGCAGTGTCGCAGTAGTGTGTTCTGTCGCGGTTGCGCGTTAGGTGATTGAGTTGGTTCCCTGGACAGCTCAGCGTGCGCGAGCTCCAGGGTGGGGTTAAGGTTGTTATGGGGAGGGGTTAATTATGCACCTTGCATGGTCATCGCTCTATTTAAATTATTTTCTGTGATCATCAGAGGCCAGTAATGTTAAGGGGTGAGATTTTTAATTTATTATTTGGTGGCCAGAGTGAAATACTCACATGTGAAATAGAAACACTGGGCCAAAATCAGCCCTGATAAAGTGCGTGCAAATTCCACTGAAGGCAATTACATCAGGCAGGAATTTAGGATAACATTATAAAATGTGGGACTCTAACACCATACTTATCTGTCATGTTCCAGCTCAAGATCTCAAAGCACTTTGCAAACATTACTGTCTTAATCCTGACAACATCTTGGAAAAGTACGACTATCGTTACAGGTGAATTCTGAGAAACAAGGGCATTATCTAATAAAATTAATGGCACACATTGAATGACAAAGGAAATAGTTCTCCGTGCGGCATATAGCTTTCGCCTGTGGAATTCACTCCTGCAACAAATCAGATTCAGTTTCTATAGCTGATTTTGAAAAGGGTCTGGAAATTTTTACAAGCCATAATTATTGGAATTATGTAGGCTAAAATAGGGTATACTCATGCTTTAGGGCATAAACTGATCACTGCAGGGATCTGAAAGGATGTCCAGGGGACTATGTACATTATGGAGATTTTCTGTGCCTTCACCAGAAGCTATGGACAGGATAGTGCATTTGACTTGAAGGGCCAATTATATGATCTAGAATGGCCCATCTTTTGTGGCTGTGTAGCTCCAGTTATGAGAGAGGATAGACTGTAGGGAGACATGGGAAACTCATTTGTAGGAGCTCTCCCCACATTGCTACAAAAAGGTTGGAAAATAATAACAAGATCATTCATTATATCTACCTTTCAGCAGGTGCTAATTCAGAGTCCAGTGATGATACTTTAAATGCCAACATTGCTAATTATGTCACTGATCATTAAAACATGGAAGAAAGGAGAGGAAGTATCATGAAGATCTACGGCAGCCAAAGTTGGGAGCGTGGGGGGCGGGGGAGGAAGACGTGCAAAGGACTAGCCAGGGCAGTAGCAGCTTGTGTATACAGGTTGTTGGGACAAGCACCCATCATGTGTGTGTCATTAAATATTAATCTCAAATACAAATTTATATTAGCCTGCTATAGCTTTCTTGTGTTTGCAATTTGTATTTAGTATACAGCAGCAAGGTGTTGTGCTCCACAGTCTCTGTGGCACATGCATGGATTGTGTGATCAAGATTACACAGGAAGCAAAGACACAGTGATTTCCATTGGATTTGGGGTGGTGGATTCATTGCCCGATCTACAGGTTGTGGTGACTGGAGAGCATTCTAAAGTGTTGCGCTCTAACTGCCCTACGTAGACCTTGCTGGTGCACTCTAAAAAGTCCCTAGTTTGAGTTGATGTAGTTCTGTTTAGTAGCTGTTGTTGACATACTTCATTGTTGACCCCGGGCAAGCTGTTCGTAGGCTCACCTCATTATCAGAGCAATTTTTTGTTGTTCAATTGAGTCAACTTGCTTTGAGAGTAGGTCTGTACTGAGTTGTGTGATGTATGGGTTCTTGGCTTGAGTCCCCATGGGGTTGAGGCCATCAGTAGGGGTGGGGCCATTCACTGGGGACATGAAGGTCACTTCCCCTGGGTCATTGTCCCTCCCCAGCCCGGCCATTCCCTTGGGTTCTTCTATTGTTCTGTCCACAGACTTTGTCTTTTGTTCCTTCAGGGACTTCCCTTGCCCTGCCTCTATCAAGTACTGAAAGAACTTCCAGTCCCACCCAATTATCATGGGATAGGCCAGGTTTGTGGCTACCCCCTTGCAGGCTGTGTCCATATAGTACTTTCTAGCTAACTGCAATCATCTCATGGGGTTGGGGTGAACACCCTCTGGATGCATTGTAGAAATATGGTACTTGAGGGCTCTCCCTTGGCCCTTGCCAAACATTCTCTGATAATTGTCTGACTACATCCTTAGTCTATTAAGCCTTAGACTCTGACATTATTAACCTGCACTGGGATCACCAGTTTTTCTGGTGCCTTTTTGCAGGCTCTGGATTCCATCACCAGACACACTCATAATTACAATCCATGAATGGGCAATCCCACCCAGAAGTGGCCCCGTTGTCCCATCTCTACATGAAGACGAATTCCAGATGGTGGTCTCTGCTTGGCTGACAACCTCACCCCTGGGTTGGGTAGCAAGGTTCCTCTCGCACCTCCTCTCCTCGCCCATCCTCTGGTTGTCTGAGTTGGTCAGGACTGGACCGGGTCCCCCCTTCATGTTTTTTGGACAGCGTGTAGTTCTCGGTCAGCGTCCCCATTTCTGACAGAGTTTCCAGTTGATGTTAGGGATGTAAATATCGGTTAAAAAAGTTAACCGGTTAAATGATTAAAATTATATTGTTTAACCTGTTAACCGTTGTGACGTTGTGCAGTCTATATGGTTTTATAAAAAATTGATAATAACTCAATATAATGTAACTG